GCAGGTCGCAGTCTTTGAGGCTGGAGAGGGTGTGAGGTCTCCATCAGTGTTCAATACCAAAGCCTTACTTAGCAAAGACATGCCAGTAAAGTCACTTCTACATCTCACTCTTCTCAATCCTCAACAAATTTGCCAGCAGTCTTACTGTATACTGGACGTATAACCTCTCAAGATTTTCACTTGTTGTCCTGTCCGTCTTCAAGAGCACTGAGGTCAAACTCAACTGTAAGATACTTGCTGAGGCAGAAGAGAGGAGCTGAATGCAGCACAATGCTGTGGAGCCTGTCTGCGCCTCGCTCTGACTTGCACCATTGTTGGTGTGGCATATTAGACTGACAGATGTGTTGGACACTGGCATTTGCCATTGTGCATGAAGTTTATTCTGATGTAAAGAGGGGAAGAGAAGCAAACACACAGCAGACATACACCAAAAGCTGTATGTTAAAGATAATTCTGTCATAATTTTACTCACTCATAGGACTGTTTTTGTCCTTCAAATGGGGTCCAAAATTACATTTTTCACAAGACATTTAAAATGTCCAATGTCCCCCCAATTGTAAGTCGCTTTGGATAAAAGTGTCTGCTAAATGACTAAATGTAAATGTAAATGTAAATGTGTAAAATATCTTCTTTTGTGCTTCGCAGTGAAGTCATACAGGCTTGCAACAACACGGGAGTGAATAAATCATGACAGAATTTGTATTTTTGGGTGAACTATCCATTGAAGACCTACAGGTAAATATTTGTTTATTAAATCAGTGCAGCTCAGCTGCTTTTAATCCAAGACCCAGATTTTACATTTTAAATAAAATAGTGAAACAACCATAATTGTTTTGCAGTATTGTTATTGTTAGTTGTTTTTTCTACAGTTACAGTTTACTATATATAATATATATATATATATATATATATATATAGAGATCCCTGGTTCTTAAATGAAAACATTGACATTTAAAATTTTTAAATATAAAACTAAAATTTAAAAAATTAATTAAAACTATAAAACTATACAAATAAAATGTAAACTATTAAAAATCATTTTTGTTAAATGCAATAAAGCTAAAATACAATAAAATAGAAATAATAGAAATATAAATATATATGATCTATTATACAATAATAATAGAAATAGAAATATAGATAACAAAAAATAAAACCATTAACAGTCACAACCCAAGCTGAGAACATGTCTTCCTGATATCACAAGAATGTTTGCATATATACAGACACTGGACGTAATAATGTCACTGGTTAAAACGAACAACTGAAAAGGATGTGTCAAATGTGTCCTTCCCGCAACTGTCTTTAAACTTTTGTTCCTTTTTCTTTAATCGCTCTCCCCTTCAGACTTGCTGGCTGCAGGCGTGAGAACTGTTTCCCTCACTAGCCGTCAGGCCAGAGCTGTAGTTCCTGTGGCTCCTGTGAGCAGAGCGTCGAGGGTGTTAATGTTCCCACATAAGGCTACACTGTAAATTTAAATGACAGTATGTGAGTGACTGACAGACTGGTGTTGAGTTCTTTGATGCTGAACCCTTGATCAATCATGAAGAAACCATACTTATGTCCCTGGCACAAAAATGTCACAAAAGCCTGGTCTATATATACATTTATATACTTTCCAAAATCTAAATTCATAAATAAACTGTAATAATTGTGTCTCGTTTTCCCTGTGGGTGTGGCAGGTTTACATCTCCTGCGTTCACTTGCCGCTGGCAGGTCACTGGTGGGTCACTTCCTGCATTCACTTGTGGCTGGAAGGTCACCTGCTGGCACAGACGGATCCCGCGTGACTGCTGGCAAATCACCTCCTGAGCCGCTACTGTACAGAGCTCCTCTGCTGCCACCAACCAGGCCAAGACTGTGAGCCAAATCTGCTCCAGTATTGAGATTAGTTACAGACCTATCATCTTTGGCCATTTTAAGATTATCTGTATTGGTCGATAACTGTGCCTAAATACCTGACCGATTAACAGCTGTCCTGGCCAGTAGTTACTCCTTGTGACAGTTTCAAAATATACACACTAATCATTAATATTTAGGCCTTAAAGGAGACATATTATGCCCCTTTTTACAATATGTAATATACGTCTCTGGTGTCCCCAGAATGTGTCTGTGAAGTTTCAGCTCAAAATACTCCACAGATCATTTAGAAAATGCCCATTTTGAGTGGAAGCAGAAACATGCTGTTTTTCGGGCCTGTCTCTTTAAATGCAAATGAGCTGCTGCTCCCCGCCCCTTTTTCCAGAATAGAGCTGTGCCATTGCAGCTCGGACCTGCTAAAAACATCTGTTTTGTTTCTGATTATCATGTTTATCGCGCTGAAATCATGCGTTTTAAACCATATGAGCTTAAACTTCTTATATATGGTTTTCTGAGTGCACACATCCGAAGTACACGGACAGAAAGCGGCTGTCACAGCATGTGATTTATTACATCGCGGAGTTCATTCACAAAGGTTTACGTTAAAAACACACGAGTTACAAAAACAGTCGGTTATGTCTGTGAAGGTAAACAGCTGGGTTTTTTTCATTTTTGCATAGATTTGACAGTTCAGCTGTATCATTTGTCATTTTAATATAGAGACTATGCAGAGGCCATAACAAAAGAAAAAATTCACAACGCAATGTAATGTAAGTCTGTAATGTAATGTAAGTCTGCAACGTAATGTAAGTCTATGCTATATTAAATAAAGTTTGTATTTATTAACGTGTCTGCAGAAAGTCAAATGCTTTGACAAAACATTCAGGCATCTCCAGAAGAAATGCATGCTCATACTATATATATATATATAGTGTTTCTTGTTACACAGTTACAATTATAAACAGAATTTAATTTAATTTATATATATAATTATTATATTACTATATAAAATATTAAAGCCAGATGATAATCTGGCGCTGGCCAATGTTAAATTTATACTGACACCTACCGACGTGCACGCAGCGTCATACAAAAATAAAGGATTACAGTAACGGATGCAAGTGTTAATGCGGTATTCGTAGTGATCCATGATAATTTTTTTCCCGTGTGTATCCTAGAATGGGAAGTCTGCGTGATCACCCACATACAATAGCACTGGTAGGCTATTGCACAACATTCAGTGTCATCTGCCGCTCAAATACAGATGTGCCACACACTGACTTCATGTTTGAAAAACATATAATAAACTTGTAAATACGTTTAATGGACATTTATTTCAAAATAACTAAATTCAGCTTTTTATTTAGGATTTTTGTGTTACAATTACAGCTGCTCAACTCATCTGCCAGTCACAACTGGAGGCAACACATACCACTTGAAAACCGGCTGTCCAAATGACACAGCTGAACTGTCGGATTTTCATTAGCATGTGTCAGTGGAGAGAGGCATGTGTCACTAAAAGTGTCACTAAAACTTGTGACACATGCCACTCTCCACTGTCCACTGACACATGCCACTGAAAACCGGAAGTGCCACCGGAAGTGTCACTGAGCATAGCGGCATGTGCCAATGGCATCTGTGCGTCAGATGTCATGTCACTTAATGTTAAAACTGCCTCTCCATGTTTTGCTCAAACTTTCACCATGGCATTACACTGTTGTCGCTTGCGAAATCACAATGACGTCGCCGTGGGTGTAAACTTACAGATTAAGGGGCGGTACTATTATAATGAGACCCCTTTGCCACGTCACCAAGGGAGCGAAATCAGATGCGCTGGTTTTTTCAGACGCTTGCAGAAAAAGGCTTCCCAAAACAAAGTTACTGGGTTAATCTTTTTCACATTTCCTTGGTTGGTAGATGCACCAGGGACCTGATTATAGCTCTTAAAACCTGGAAAAGTCCGATTTTCATGATATGCCACCTTTAAATCTATGTATTTGAAATGAAATTTCTATCCATTTGGATTGCAGTTTCACCATAAACAAACTGATCAACTTAATGTGATGCATCTGTCATACATAAATGCAGCAGGTAATATTTCTGTAGTACTACTAATAAACGGGATGTGTTTTAAATACACAATAACCAGGTGTGTGTGTGTGTATATATATATATATATATTCTTTCCAATTTACATTTTAATTAAATATTGCTCGTTCGACAGCTACGCATATTTGAACCATGTTCATACTTTTTACCTGACAAAATGTAATTGTTTTCACCATAGACAGATTTATGCTGATTCTAAACAATTTAAATAAATGTATTTTTAAAAATATGGTTATTTAAATAAAATCAAATAGATGAAAACTAAAAATGGATGGATGGAAATTTTATATGCAATTCAAACTACATAAATCTTAAATTTAGTCCTAAATATTTTTTTAGAGACAGCATTTTCAGTTTTCTTTTCTTTTTTTTTTGGTAAATAATTAAACCAAATGTTTATTTAATTTCCAAGCTTTTATGCACAAACATAACAGACAACTAGTGAAAATGCTTTCATTTTGCATGTACAATAAAAAGTACAACTTTTAAAATCAGCAACATAGTGCAAATATAAATATAATACAAGTGAAAATATAATTGTAATCTTAAATATTTTTTATTATAATTTTAGATTTATTTATTTAACATTTATCAGAATCCTAACCCATTGTATTCTTTTCAAGATACAAGAAGTAACTCAAAGAAGTAAAGTGATACTGACATCAGCCATTTAAATACACATAATTTGACACAAATAACAACAATGCATTAATTAACAGTGGCCAATATATGGGTCATACTTAAATGGATAAATCTGTTTGTAACAGCAAAAAGAAATACTAATGCGCCACGTTGTAATATAGGCTATATATCAAAGTATTTAAACAAAAAATCCGGTATTAAACCAAGTATAAACCAAATATTAATATCAAGCGTAGAGAATATGTACAGTAGTCTACCATCAAAACCACAAGGAAGACTCAAAGCCATCGTTTCTTCAGAGAGTCTCAGAACAAAGACAGGTGCAGTTTGGAAGCAAGGTGAGGCACGTGTGAGCGTCACAAAGAGCCGAGCATCGCATTGGATGCGGAGGCAGAAGGTGTGCTGCTGCTGCTGAGAGCGCCAGTCAGTCAGTCGCTCACCTGCCGTCAGTGTCTCTCCGGTCATGGACTAGTGCAGCACGTTAGTTTGGCACATGACGGAGAGGAACGGGAAGCTCGGTTGTCTTTCCAAGCCAAAGGACTACTATCTACCTCGCTGCCTTCGCGACTACTGTAGCGTAGCTTAAGAGCCGTTCGCTATTTATGTGTATTTATATTTATTTATAGCGCGCGTTTCGTATCTGCATTGCACTGACTTTGGCGCCTCGATGCTTTTACATCAGTTCGTGAATGGGACGCTGGAAACCATGTATCCCAGTATTCAGAAAGACACGACTTTCACCAAGATCTTCGTCGGCGGGTTACCGTACCACACCACGGACGCGTCGCTGCGGACACACTTCCAGACTTTCGGCGACATCGATGAAGCCGTGGTGATAACGGACCGGCAGACGGGGAAATCCAGAGGATACGGCTTTGTGAGTAAAAACACCAGTTGTTGGGTTTTAGTCAATGTTTATATAACTCTCAATAGCTCTTCAAATCAACGCGAAGAACAATACTTTGTTTACTCAGTTCGGACAAATTTACTCTGCGCAAGGTTTAAGTAGCCTAGTTAAATCTGCCGTGCTTGTTATTATCACATTAGTTTTGAAAACACTATTAATTGTACATGAAATGTGACTTAAAGCTGTGCACAAAAGCTCGGTGTCCGATTCGTCAATTAATTGTTCTTCAGAGTCGGATCGGTTTGAACCGGTACTGAACTATTTGCTCTCCGGTCAACTGAGTCACCGAGAAACGTCGGACCCGTAATGAGCTAAAAACTCTTAAGTGAGCCGAGCTCATGTTTTATTGACTTAAGACGAAAAGTTACTTGAATAGCAGAAATGTTACAAATATATTGTTCTCGACTTTTGCATGACCGTTTTTGATATATAAAGAATCTTTATTTGAACCGATTCTTTGAAGCGGCCTGTTCAAAAGAATCGATTCGCAGACGTGGGTCGAACTCCATTTGAACGCATTTGCGGTCTCCAGGTGACGGTGCGCTCGTCGCGTGCCGTTGGCGCATGTCTTTTGTTACAGTTCTGAAGAACAAAGGCCAGTAGGTGTACAGTAGAAACTCCCGCGGCACAATGAGCTGCATGCTCTCCATCATGGCTCTAAATCTAATATCCTAGCCACGAACGATGATCTCTGTGCTTACTATGAGCCCTTTTTAATAGGCCTAAATGTTTTCCACATAGTCCGATTTAGTGCTGAAGGATCTTAGATGTAATCCTTAGATATTGCAAGCTTTTCATGGGCACAATATGCTCTTGCATTGCATCGCTCCACAAGTGTGTGTGTGAGTGTGATGTTGAGAGTCACATGTGGGACCATAAGTGGATTATTTCTAAAAAAGCATGTCATCAATTATCTTCTTAGCCTCTTGGATGAAGTTTGAAAGCAGGGTCTCAGATTTCTGTGAAGTGGCCCCTTTTAAATACGTCTTTAAGCATTGTAAGTGGAAAGCGTGGTCCGGCCCAAGGGTGTTTCTGCTGTGATGTGCTGCGAGGCCCACCTCTGCTCACTTAAGGAGGTTTTGAGGGGCCCAGAGGAGCGGCCCTAATGAGTGTTCTGCCAAGCACATCTGACTGCATTTATAATATCTAAAGAGTGGCTTTCACTGTATTTTAGATATTTTGCTTTCACTGTACCTCTCTGCATATGCTAGATTTTAAAAAGGGATTGTGCGATACCATCTGATAACATTTCCATGTTAATATCATGGTACTTTGATATATGTTATGGAATATATGCCTTAAAAGAACACCATGGTAAATAAATCACACCCTATATTACAGAAAAAATACTGTAATCAAATGATTTATTAATTTAAATCACCATTAAAGTCTACCAGGATATACATTTTATTATTTTTCATTATTTTAGTTTTTAAATATATTATTATTATTATTATATAAAATATATTATTATTTGTATAATTAAAAGTTTTACATTAAAGTAATTAGAATAAGGGTGATTGCTACTTTTTGCCACAATTAAGTATTCATAAAAAAACGTCAGAATTTTGGGATAAAAAGTCAAAATAATTTTTACAGAGTTTATATCTCGCTATCTCAACTTTTTTCTCATAATTGCGAGATAAAAATAGCATATATACATTTTTTTGTTTGTTTGTTTTTTAATTCTGTAGCGGAAACAGGCTTCCATTAAAATTGTTAATGGTTCTAAGTTAAAATAAATTTTCTGAAAGTAAAATATATTTTTACATTGTTTTTCTTTTGTTTTTGGGGTGAAATATGATCTGCACGTGTCGACAGGTTTTGTGAGTTTTGCTCATATAGCGTCTGTGTTCACTACTACAGAACTGTATCGTGGTTTGTCTTCAAAAGCAGTTGGAAAGCACAGATAAGACCGCACAGTTTCACTTCGTTTTTATTTATTTTTTTGTCTCCTCATCTGCCATATATATATATATATATAAATAAATAAATAAAAGAAACTGTACAACTAATTTTGGAGGCCTTGTCAGAAATGATAGCCTTTAATATCCTGGCTGATACACTCCCTGTGTGGGAGGCCTCGTCTTAATAGCTGTATTCTGGAATAAGAAAAGAGGGAGGGTTACCAGAAGAGTTCCCAGAAGATTACAACACAAACCTAATGTTTTCCCAACACGCTCACTGAGGCTTGTCGCCTCATTTACTAGCCTGGTTTTGTGACTACTGAGATAATAACATGGTCACAGCTATGTGTGTGTGTGTGTGCGCTTGTTTTGTTCATGTTCAGTCTGAGACACTCTCCACACAAGGACACTACAGAAATGAAGCGTACACTCTGGTGTTTACCTGACAGAAACCAGATCCCATGAATTCTCCTGCTAACCGCTCACTCCGCTACTGCTCTGGCTGTATTTCTAGTTCCACCAGCCCTGGGGAACACAGCTGCCACTGGGTCTCCACATGGGTGGGGCGTTTGTGTGTGTGTGTGTGTGTGTGTGTGTGTAGCCGTGAGCAGCTCAAACCTAATATTGCAGAGCACTGGAAGAGCGTTTGTCACAGAGACCTTAGCTGTGAAAACAAGTCAGCAGTTGAGGCTGCTTAACCGCCTCACTAAAATACCCATAAACCCCTTCTACTTAAGCAAACTGGTGTGGTATTAATGCCATGCTTGTATTTTTAAGATTAATTTTAAGATGAGATCCAACTTAAATGGGTTAAAAAGCCTATTTTTTTGGGCAACATAAACTATAAATTGATCAGCTGATAAGAGGAGCTGTGTTGTGCTCAATATTGGTAAATCATGTCACAGTTTATTATTATGAAATCATTGCAAATAGGTTATTCTTACAGCTTAAGAACGACCTAATATGTATGTATCAATGTATTATATCCAGGCTATTGGGCTGAATTTATTTAAGTGGGTTTATACATTTGGGGAGAAATGGCAAAGTGAGACATGAAGATTGGAATGGAAAATAAACTGTAATTTTTCTCCCGTTGCAAAAAAATAAATGGTAACACTTTACAATAAGGTTTCATTTGTTAATGTTAGTTAATGAAAATACAGTTGTTCACTGTTAGTTCATGTTAATTCACTGTGCATTAACTAATGTTAACAAGCACAACTTTTGATTTTAATAGTGCATTAGTAAATGTTGAAATTAACATTAGCTAAGATTAGTAAATGCTGTAGAAGTATTGTTCATTCTTAGTTCATGTCAGCTAAAGTAGTTAACTAATGTTTACTAACGAACCTTATTGTAAAGTGTTACCAAATAAATAAATGAGGTTTAGGTTTATTTGACAAATATATATATATATATATATATATATATATATATATCAGTTGTTTTTTTTGGTCTTTGAGTTAAATGAGTTTGACCTTTGAAAACATTTAATACCTCAAAATGTCCTCTTGAGTCCAAAATTGGATTTACTAAACCAAACTGCAAAAATAAATTGTTCTGAATTATATATTAAACATAACAGACATGACGATCGCTCCGTACTGTTACTGATTTCACATGTGAAGGAGGTGTTTCTTAAAGGCACAGCAGATAAAACGTTTCGCATACAGACGACAACATTGTCAAAATCCCATTCACATGAATCCGAGAAAATGACTAAAAATGCTGTAGTATTCATGCCAGGCCAGTAGGTGTCAATGTCACAAAGAAAGACTACGCGTCTGCGCACATAGCTATAGACTGAACACGTAATACGCTGTGCGTGATGTCACCGTTTTCACAAACGTGCGTTTTTGTAGTTTACACTGAGAAGATAACGGTATTGTTTTCAAAAACATGCACTTTGAAACCCGTTGTTGTCTAAATGAATGGCCAAAACACATAAAAGGTTTTCAGTTTTTATTTGAAAACGGTGTCATGTGAACACACTAAGGCTAAGAGAAAGCTAAAAAGTATGATATGACTCAACAGAAATCACACTCATTCGTAATGTCTGTATTTCATTTTTCTCTTTCTTCTTCAGGTCACTATGATAGATAAAAGTGCAGCTGAGAGAGCTTGTAAAGATCCCAACCCTATTATTGATGGACGCAAAGCTAATGTCAACCTGGCGTACCTCGGAGCCAAACCACGCAGCCCACTGGCAGGTACATACCTGACACAAGCTTTAAACTTGCTCAAAGTAGGGTACTTATCTTTTAAATCCTATAGTTATCTATTGTTCTGTCACTTTCAAAAATGAATTGTGTAATTTAAGCACTGCAGAAATGCAAAAATAATGACTGTTTTCAAACAGGTTTTCTCAAACTCGGATAATGTTGCTGTGTTGGGCTGGCCAGGATGTTCAAATGAACAGAACAGTGTTTTGAAAGTGATTTATTCTGTTTATTTGATTCTGTTGTGATTAATATATTATACACTTCCCCTTTAAGAATTCTAAAGTAGTTTGAAGTCGTTTTGCCTTTATATGGTAGAGCAACTGTTGCAGCTTTTTCTTGTTGACACTTTTACTGTGGATGATTCATACTGGCAAAAACCTGATGTATGTTTTCATCATATCATGCTCTGAGTATCATAATCTTTTGCACTCTCTCTCACACACACACACACAGCTCTCTCTGGCTGCCACACACACACAATATCACACTTATTTTAACAGGTTGTTTGATGGGTTAAGCCTGTCAAGAATTTACTGCCATGCTACATTTGCATCTATGCATGTGTGTGAATGCATTGACAGAAAGTGATATATGTTCAGTTAGCACGTCTTGTCTGTTCGTTCGACCTCCAACTTTGCATTTCTGTTTGTGTTTTGTAGCTAATATGTCAGAAAAGAGGAAGGGTATTGTGGAGGGAACCTGAAGCATGTACACCTGTCCTAACACACCATATTCACACAGGAAAAGAGGCCCTTGCTCTTGTTCTCGTCCAAACATGTTTGAAACGGCAGTCGTGTATCACTCTGTCTCTCTCTCTCCTCTGCTGTTGTGGCCATCATCGCATGACTCACGCCTCGATGTACTGTTTTGTTTTTTTTTTCAGGCTTACATGTTACTCTGGGAAATATATTGTTCAAGCACATTTTAGTTCAAAAGTGAATGACAAATAAAGATCATTAAAAGAATAAATCTTATAAAAATCTAGTAAAATACAATGCCAAGTTCTTAAAAAACATTTATATGACATATACATTTTTAAACGATATACTTAAAAAATATATTTTAGCTATTTTCTATTTCTATTTATTTTCTATTTAGCTTTAAATTATTATTATTTCTGTTTTAGTTTTAGTCATTTAGTACTTCAACTTATTTTATTTCAGTGATTTCACTCATTTATTTTTATTCATTTTTATTATTTTTTAAGCTCAATTATTTTATATGTTTTATTTCAATGACAATCAATGATAAAATATGATAACCGAGATCATTAAATGAAGAAATAAAAAAATCAAGTTAGTCAAGTTCTTGAAATCTTGACAATGTTGAAAAGTAAAACAATATTTTTCTTTATATCTTATAACTTTAGTTTATAATAATTAAGCTTAATCATATATATATATATATAGCTTTAATTTATTATTACTATTTCTGTTTTAGTTGTAGTCATTTTTAGTATTTCAACTTAAAATTATTTCAGTTAGTTCAGTTAAATCATTTTTTATAAGTTATCTTATTTATTACAATGATTATTATTAATTATATATTTATATTTACAAATTATGCCAAGCTATACTGGTGCCAAAGCCTTTTCCCCAATAATTTCAGGCTATTAATACCAGTATTTTTTAGGTTATTAATACCAGTAATTTCTGGTTATTAATATAATCAATTAATATTCATCAATAACTTTTTTTATTTATTAAAATATTTGGGACACCTATACGCTTTTGATAAAAATATCAAAATTAAATAAACATGCTCAGTGCTCAGTTTATTCAAGTCATTTTCTGTATAAACTGCATTTTTAATGTATTTTTGAGTAACACTGACCCAGACACAAAAAAATGAATGTTATGTCACTGACCCATGTATAATGAACATAAAATGGAGCGAAGAAAGCTTTTTTTGATAGACATAGAGAATTACAAATTGAATTATGTTCACCATAAGGTTTGTTTAAAGGGTGTAGTGTGTATATGCAAATACTGCAGAAGAGGCTGTTGTGCGTGTGCGTGTGTGTGTGCGTGCGTGTGTGCGTGCTTGCGTGTGTGTGTGTGTGTGTGTGTGTGTGTGTGTGTGTGTGTGTGTGTGTGTGTGTGTACTAATGTTAACAAGCACAACTTTTGATTTTAATAGTGCATTAGTAAATGTTGAAATTAACATTAGCTAAGATTAGTAAATGCTGTAGAAGTATTGTTCATTCTTAGTTCATGTCAGCTAAAGTAGTTAACTAATGTTTACTAACGAACCTTATTGTAAAGTGTTACCAAATAAATAAATGAGGTTTAGGTTTATTTGACAAATATATATATATATATATATATATATATATATATCAGTTGTTTTTTTTGGTCTTTGAGTTAAATGAGTTTGACCTTTGAAAACATTTAATACCTCAAAATGTCCTCTTGAGTCCAAAATTGGATTTACTAAACCAAACTGCAAAAATAAATTGTTCTGAATTATATATTAAACATAACAGACATGACGATCGCTCCGTACTGTTACTGATTTCACATGTGAAGGAGGTGTTTCTTAAAGGCACAGCAGATAAAACGTTTCGCATACAGACGACAACATTGTCAAAATCCCATTCACATGAATCCGAGAAAATGACTAAAAATGCTGTAGTATTCATGCCAGGCCAGTAGGTGTCAATGTCACAAAGAAAGACTACGCGTCTGCGCACATAGCTATAGACTGAACACGTAATACGCTGTGCGTGATGTCACCGTTTTCACAAACGTGCGTTTTTGTAGTTTACACTGAGAAGATAACGGTATTGTTTTCAAAAACATGCACTTTGAAACCCGTTGTTGTCTAAATGAATGGCCAAAACACATAAAAGGTTTTCAGTTTTTATTTGAAAACGGTGTCATGTGAACACACTAAGGCTAAGAGAAAGCTAAAAAGTATGATATGACTCAACAGAAATCACACTCATTCGTAATGTCTGTATTTCATTTTTCTCTTTCTTCTTCAGGTCACTATGATAGATAAAAGTGCAGCTGAGAGAGCTTGTAAAGATCCCAACCCTATTATTGATGGACGCAAAGCTAATGTCAACCTGGCGTACCTCGGAGCCAAACCACGCAGCCCACTGGCAGGTACATACCTGACACAAGCTTTAAACTTGCTCAAAGTAGGGTACTTATCTTTTAAATCCTATAGTTATCTATTGTTCTGTCACTTTCAAAAATGAATTGTGTAATTTAAGCACTGCAGAAATGCAAAAATAATGACTGTTTTCAAACAGGTTTTCTCAAACTCGGATAATGTTGCTGTGTTGGGCTGGCCAGGATGTTCAAATGAACAGAACAGTGTTTTGAAAGTGATTTATTCTGTTTATTTGATTCTGTTGTGATTAATATATTATACACTTCCCCTTTAAGAATTCTAAAGTAGTTTGAAGTCGTTTTGCCTTTATATGGTAGAGCAACTGTTGCAGCTTTTTCTTGTTGACACTTTTACTGTGGATGATTCATACTGGCAAAAACCTGATGTATGTTTTCATCATATCATGCTCTGAGTATCATAATCTTTTGCACTCTCTCTCACACACACACACACAGCTCTCTCTGGCTGCCACACACACACAATATCACACTTATTTTAACAGGTTGTTTGATGGGTTAAGCCTGTCAAGAATTTACTGCCATGCTACATTTGCATCTATGCATGTGTGTGAATGCATTGACAGAAAGTGATATATGTTCAGTTAGCACGTCTTGTCTGTTCGTTCGACCTCCAACTTTGCATTTCTGTTTGTGTTTTGTAGCTAATATGTCAGAAAAGAGGAAGGGTATTGTGGAGGGAACCTGAAGCATGTACACCTGTCCTAACACACCATATTCACACAGGAAAAGAGGCCCTTGCTCTTGTTCTCGTCCAAACATGTTTGAAACGGCAGTCGTGTATCACTCTGTCTCTCTCTCTCCTCTGCTGTTGTGGCCATCATCGCATGACTCACGCCTCGATGTACTGTTTTGTTTTTTTTTTCAGGCTTACATGTTACTCTGGGAAATATATTGTTCAAGCACATTTTAGTTCAAAAGTGAATGACAAATAAAGATCATTAAAAGAATAAATCTTATAAAAATCTAGTAAAATACAATGCCAAGTTCTTAAAAAACATTTATATGACATATACATTTTTAAACGATATACTTAAAAAATATATTTTAGCTATTTTCTATTTCTATTTATTTTCTATTTAGCTTTAAATTATTATTATTTCTGTTTTAGTTTTAGTCATTTAGTACTTCAACTTATTTTATTTCAGTGATTTCACTCATTTATTTTTATTCATTTTTATTATTTTTTAAGCTCAATTATTTTATATGTTTTATTTCAATGACAATCAATGATAAAATATGATAACCGAGATCATTAAATGAAGAAATAAAAAAATCAAGTTAGTCAAGTTCTTGAAATCTTGACAATGTTGAAAAGTAAAACAATATTTTTCTTTATATCTTATAACTTTAGTTTATAATAATTAAGCTTAATCATATATATATATATATAGCTTTAATTTATTATTACTATTTCTGTTTTAGTTGTAGTCATTTTTAGTATTTCAACTTAAAATTATTTCAGTTAGTTCAGTTAAATCATTTTTTATAAGTTATCTTATTTATTACAATGATTATTATTAATTATATATTTATATTTACAAATTATGCCAAGCTATACTGGTGCCAAAGCCTTTTCCCCAATAATTTCAGGCTATTAATACCAGTATTTTTTAGGTTATTAATACCAGTAATTTCTGGTTATTAATATAATCAATTAATATTCATCAATAACTTTTTTTATTTATTAAAATATTTGGGACACCTATACGCTTTTGATAAAAATATCAAAATTAAATAAACATGCTCAGTGCTCAGTTTATTCAAGTCATTTTCTGTATAAACTGCATTTTTAATGTATTTTTGAGTAACACTGACCCAGACACAAAAAAATGAATGTTATGTCACTGACCCATGTATAATGAACATAAAATGGAGCGAAGAAAGCTTTTTTTGATAGACATAGAGAATTACAAATTGAATTATGTTCACCATAAGGTTTGTTTAAAGGGTGTAGTGTGTATATGCAAATACTGCAGAAGAGGCTGTTGTGCGTGTGCGTGTGTGTGTGCGAGCGTGTGTGCGTGCTTGCGTGTGTGTGTGTGTGAAATGAAATGAAATGGCCTCACAGAGGACACAGGCACAGCTAGCAGGTTAAAATATGAAGAAAACCGTTTCTGCAGCGCTCCAAACATAAATATCAAAGTCCCCACATTCTGTGTGTGTGTGTGTGTGTGTTGAATGGGCATCCAGGCGAGAGATGTTTCTGATCTGTGTCCAGCCAGATACACTGTTATGCTGGAGAACAGACAGCCTGGAGTTTATCACATGAGTGATTTCATGAGAGCATACATTCAGGACGAGAGGAAAAATAGAAAGAAAGAAAAACCAAAACAAAAGTGCATATTGGGTGAATGAAGAGAATGAGTGCCAATTAAAACCTAAAGAGTGTGCAGTTGTGGAGGACACAGAATTATAAATGTCAAATACAGGGCAAGTAGAAAACTGGAGAATGAATGACTCCATTAGAGGGCAAATGTCCAGAGATGATAGTGAAATAATTATGTAGCATTTGTCATCTGTTCCACTCAATTTCTGCTGTTTAACAACCATAAACCTTAATTTATTGCCAAGATGTCTTAAAGGAGTGTTCTGGGTTCAAAATGTTAAAAGAAGCTCTGTCGACTGCATTGACTCATCCTTTAATTTGCAACAAACTAAAAGCACATGCACAGTCATGGACTTACAATGGGAGTCTATGGGGCAAGACATTGCAGAGGGTTTAAAAGCAGAAATGTGCAGCTTGTGTTTTTGTACTTATTAATGGTCTACCGATATGGGCTTTTTGATGGCTGATGCCGATATCTTGGGGAGCAGAGTAGCCAGTGTCCGATGGCCAGTAACATCAGGCCAAGGAAATTAGCTTTTGAGCTGACTTTGGTGCATCTGCATTCATGAATGTTGATTAATGTATACAGTCTCTTTTTGAAATCAAATTAAATTAATCAGACAGTTTATTTTAAAGATTTTAAATAATATGCTGCACTGAAATGTATATTTATTTTACATAGTATTTAATGAATTAAAATTAAATAATTAAAAAATTAAAAAAATGTAACTTGATTAAAAAAAATGTAATACTTTTTAATATACACAGTTTACTTTGTTTTACATTTCGGTGTAATAATTTATTATTTATAATTCAATTATTTTATTTAGTAAGACAGATTTGTAATAGATGTTCTCATGGATGTCAAAATAAAAGTCCTGTTTCTGACACTTGACTAAACAAAAACTAATCGTCTAATGTCAGTAATTAATACTGATACGTTTGCCTTGGTATATTAATATTGTAATAATATTCATTTTTTTCATACAAAAATGAGTTATTTCAGACATAAAGCTCAATAAATCATTTTAGTAGTGGGACTATTTTAGGCAGATGGATTTCTGGTTTTTATAACAATCCCTTTCTGTTCTGTCCTTGGGTTTTATGTGGTCAGATTTTGAACTGACGGAATTAGTAAGTGATTTTAACTCCGTAGTTTCATGTCAACACATATAATAATTAGGTTTTGTGGCTATATTTTCCAAACAGTGTGTATTTAACATGCCTTCCAATGTCTTGCCCCTTAAACGTCTATTATAAGTGCATTACTGTACAAATAATATTTGTTCGTGTTTACAAACTGAAGGATGAGTTGAAATTGTTAGGGTCATTTCTGTAAAGGAACAGTTCACCCAAAAAAAATATATAATTTTCTGTATAATGACTTCATGGTGAACTGTCAAAATCCAAAAAAATAATAATAATTTTTTATTTTTTTTTTACAAAATATGAACACCAAATTTAAGTGCCATATTTGGCCTGCGGCTTGAAGAAAGCTTGACAAACTATGAACTGTAGCTTTACTAAAAAGCCGATGGCATCCAAAACAAGACTTTTCACAAGACATTTTTCAAAATATCTTCTTTTGGGCTCCACGGATAAAGAAAGTCAGGCAGGTTTGGAACCTAATGTAACTCTGTCATCATTTGCTCACCCTCATTTCTGGGTGAACTCTCAGAAGCAGATGTCAATCTCTTGTTTTCCTCGTGTTGTCACAGGATACTCGACTGGAGTACAGCAGGTTCATCCAGCCCTGATCCAGAGGCAGTATGGGTAAGCATCTCTTCTCATTCTGCTAATGTCAGGGGTGAGGGAATAACATGAAATCCTAGCACGACCCCTCAGAAACAGTCCTGTCAAAACTGCAGTTTCATTTAGCCTAAAACTGTCAGTTACTCTTAACAATCCTCTCCTCTCACATCCCGTCTCACTCAGATCGGAGGACACGAGCCGTGAACATTAGTGCAGCTCTTCCTCACTATTTTTTGTCACGTGTTTACAGTACCGTCTGCGGTTTATTTTCATCTCTCTGCCTCCTTCCCAAATTCTCTCTCACACTGTCACTCGGTCTCAGTTTCTCTCTTTTTACTCTCTTCCTCTTTCTGTATATCCCTCTTGGTTCCTTTCTGACAGTGTTTCTCTTTCTTTAACTTTCTCGACTCTCTGTCTCTCTTCCCTATCCTGTTTGACCTGTTTGTCTGTCAGTTAGGTCACCACCTGCCTCAAGTCTGCTAAGCAGCCAGGTGTTATGCAAAACAAACCCTCATCTCTCTCTCTTTCTTTGTCTCTCTTTGTCGATCTTTCTTGTTCCCTATTCCACCCACACATACTCCCCAACATCTGAATCATATTATGCATATATTTCAAAGTAATAGTTCTTTAAAAAATGTATCATTGTTTACTCGCCCTCATGTTATACCAAACTCATAGTTTTTTCTACACAAAGGTAGATCTTAAGGGCTGCACAGTTAATCGAATTTCTAATCGCGATTACAATTACAATTACAATTAATGCCGCTATTACATAATCGTTCAAAGTCCACTTGTGTAATTCTGAGTGCTTGTGTTTTTGTTTTCTTTCTACAGGTTATCTTAAGGGTTGTCCCATTGTTTTAATTTATATAATACCATGCATATTTTTACTTTTTTATTATTTAAAGAAGAAACCAATCCAACGTATAGGTGACATTTGAGGCTGTGGTTTAACATCATTCAATGTAAATTGTGATAATCGTAATTAATAATCGCAATTACAATTTCCAAAGAATAATCGACAATTATGATTTTTGTCATAATCGTGCAGCCCTAATTTTAAGTCATAAGGGCTACATTTATGATTATGGCTTATGGGACCTAAAAAAACTTTTTGGACCATGATAAATTTCTTCACAAATTTCTATGGAAAACATAATATTGCATTTATGGTTTAACATGCATATTTTCCCTAAGATGCTCAATTTTAATTGTCAGTTAATCATATACACTATTGTTTGGGGTTGGTAGGATTGGTAGGTTGTTGTTGACTCAACAACGTAAAATAGTTCAAATACAGTAAAATAGTAATATTGTGAAAAATATTATTATTAGTAATATGGGCTAAATTTATGATTATGACTTTTATGGTACTTTTTTGTGCTGTTTAGAGCTTGACAACTGTCATTGGATAGAAAGAGGTGCAAAAATGTTCTTCACAAATTTCTATGGGAAATATATATTTTTTATTATTAATAATAATAACAGTAACAATAATGAATACACCACTGTTCAAAAGTCTGGGGTCAGTAAGAGTCTTTTAAAGAAATTTTTGCTTTTATTCAGCAAGGATACATTAAATTGATTAATAAAGACATTTATAATGTTATAAAGATTCCTAATATAAATAAATGCTTTTTAATTTTCTATTCATTGGAGCATTTAAAAAATCCTGAATTTTTTTTTTAAATATGTATGACGGGTTCCACAATGATATGAAGTAGCACAATTGTTTTCATGATTGATAATAATCAGAAATATGACACTGAAGACTGGAGTAAGGATGCTAAAAATTCATCTTTGCATCACAGGAATAAATTATATTTTAAAATACATTCAAATACCAAACAATTATTTTAAATTGTAATAATATTTCACAATATTATTGTTTTTACTGTATTTTTGATCAAATAAATGCAGTGGTGAGAAGAAGAGACTTCTTCAAAAAAAACAGTAAAAAATCTATACCGACCACAAATGTGTAGTTATTATTATAGTATAATAACTGGTTCTGCAAATGGACATTAAACATATAGTCAATATTTAATATATCGGTCGTAAAATGAAATACAAAAATAGTCCAGTCACTAGCTGAATTTTACAGATGTGGATCTGGTTGTAGAATGAGCAGGGCTCGCAAAATCGCTAGCCCGACGTCCCGGGGCTATTGTGTTTTCCAGTCGGGCTACCAAAATGTATCACCACTCTTCTTAAATGCAGATCTCCCACGGGTCCTTAAAAACTCCTAAAGTGAGTTGTATCAAACTTAAGGCCATAAAAAGTTTTAAATACGTTAAATGGTATAAGAAATGTCTTAATCATAATTTCAAGAGGTTTTACATTTGGGGACGGAAAGACAAGTACCAGGGATTTTGAAATTTTGCGAGCCCTGATGAGGTTGTAACTCTTGTAAATAAATTACCAATCTCTGTGTGTACAGCGAGGTCTAGTGTTTAGAACAGGAGTGAGTGCCATATTTTGTAGACATAGCTTGAATGTGTTTTTTATCCTAAAGTTAAAGGGTCTTGTCTATACCTGTGGGGGTCTGTATTTAAACTCACTGTCAGAGGGTTAGCTTTTTGTTTTGAACAGGTGTCTTGTACCCATTGTGGGTCTGTTTGCAGTGTCAGTTAATAGTGCTACTGAACATTAACCCTAATCATTAACTTCCTCTTTGAGATGGCCAATGCTAATAATGAGAAACGTATCAGAGGCGAACTTAACTCCACTACAGTAATGGCCAACAGACTGCAAACAACAAACAGACCTACAACAGTATGTTAGCTAAAGGCTATTCGAACATGCTAACAGTTAGCATAAGACCTGATTAAAGAGATACACATACTCATACCCAAAAATGTCAATTGTGTCATCATTTAATCACCTTCATGTCGTTCCAAACCTGTAACTTTCGATACTGTGGAAAACAAGAAAGTTGAGCAATGAGGTTCAATGTATGGACAATGAAAGAGACCGTTTTCATACAGGTTTGGAGTGACATTTTTATTATTTGTCAGTGAACTCTATATTTAAGGTAACTAAAGAGATTGTCAGTTCTGATTAGGATGTGAGATTATTCGAAGCATCCAGTCAGTGTGTTGGGTTATCACTACTCAGTTAGCTTATTTAGTGAGTAGCATGTCCTTGTTGAGAGGAAGACGGCCCCTGCTGTCGTTTCGAGTTGGCACTCTCGCCATCTGTTGGCTGGCATTAGAGGGATTTTCCCATCTGGGGAGTATGGTGTTGGTTTTGGGGTTTCCTGAGGTAGGAGGCTTTAGCAGGGTGCTGGAGATGGGGATTACAGAAGCGGAGGGTGCCGCTAACAAACCCCCTGTGGTTGGGGGTTGGCCAGCACACAGCATTGTGGGAGGTCTGCAGGTTTAGGGAGCTCTGCTGAACCAGCACAATGAGGATCAAACTACTTGAGCATCTCAGATACACGTACACGCTCATGTCTCTCTTACACCATCGGCTTGTCATGTGCCTCGAGCCTGATATACGTTCACTGACATTTGACCTTTATCACTTGGTGGCAACATTCACACCACTATACCAGCGGGCAGCCGTGTGACACTCTTGTATTTATTATTCAAGATGCATAATTTATATTGATTAATGCAAAAAAAAAAAAAAAAAATGGAATCATTGTTTTTTAATGTTTTTTAAATAAGTCTCTTTTGCTCACCAAGGCTGCATTTTTTTAATTATAAAAAATACAGTAAAAACAGTAGTATTGTAAAATATTATTACAATTTAAAATAACTGTTTTCTATTGTAATAGAGTTTAAAATATAATTTATTCCTGTGATCAAAGCTGAATTTTAAGTATCATTACTCCAGTCTTCGGTGTCACACGATCCCTCAGAAATCATTATAATATGCTGATTTGATGATCAAGAAACATTTCTGATTTCTGAAAACGGTTGTGCTGCTTTATATATTTGTGGAAATCGTGATACTTTTTTTTTTTCTTTGAAGAATTTGGATTTTTTTTGATGAATAAAAAGTTGAAAGTAACAGAATTTATTAGAAATAGAAATCTTTTTCTAACTTTATAAATACCTTTACTGTCACTTTTGATCAATTCCTTGCTATGGAAGCCTGTTTCTGCCACTGAATAAAAAATACTGACATTTTTCTCAGAATTGTGTGATATAAACTCGCGATTGCGAGAAAAAAAGTCAGAATTGCAAGCTACAAACTCATAATTCTGACTTTATGACTCAAGTTTATATCACGAAATTCTGAGGGGGAAAAAAAGGCAGAATTGTGAGATAAAAAAGTTGCAATTTCCTTTTTTTAATTTTTTTTATTAAGTGGTGGAAACAGGCTTCCATACCTTGCTGATAAAAAGTGACTCGTTTATTTCAAATGTCTTCTATTTACTGGGTAGAAAGATATCAATATTATTTATTTTGCACATTTGTTATGTTTTTAGGGTTATGCATATTCATTTCACACAGCTGTGAATCTCTGTGCCCTACAATGTCACACAAGCTATCATTTTTACAGCACTACATTTAGTTAGAATGACGTGACAAGGGTGGCCCTCTCCCAAATTACCCCCTTCACTTATTCATCAGTAATTTAGTGATTGCCCTGTTTGTTTCTGTGTTTGCCTGGTAAGATATGACCTTTAAAAACCCCTCTGTCTCTCTGTCTCTGCCCCACACCCAACAGCTGGTGCTGCTAAAAGTGATATTCTGCTCTGGGCATGACAGCACGACCTAAGATTATTCGTCCTTCCTCTTTGTCGTCATAATTTGCAATCCCTTCTGCATCTCTTCATTTCTCTTTGTGCTTCTGTTCTTTGTTGCTCTCTGCACAGAAGAAAAGGCTTCCTGCATCCCCACATCATCAAAACCACCTAAAATATTACAGATAAACACTCAAACAAAAGTAAAATATCACAGATACTGTGTTTTAGTTATAAAACAATACACGCATCTCACCCGGAAGGCAAGCCACTTTAAACTGCATGCTGAGTTAGTTTGAACATAAAGCATGTCTCATGTTTAGGA